GTTTTTGTCTTCACACTTGCCCACCCGCGAGGAATGTTCTAAACAGGAGGCCACCCCGCCCGAGGGCGTGAGTAATCGACTAACCTGCCCACCCAAGGGATGTTCTAAACAAGCGACCACCCAGCTCGAGGGCCTTAGTCATGGTGGGTTTTTGTCTTCACACTTGCCCACCCGCGAGGAATGTTCTAAACAGGAGGCCACCCAGCCCGAGGGCGTGAGTAAACGACCAACCTGCCCACCCCAAGGGATGTTCTAAACAAGCGACTTCCAAGTCAAACCACATCACATACATCCTGTAATCCAAATTATGCCAACATTTCAAGCATAAGAAAATGTGCAATAAAGCGAGTAGAACGAGAGAATAACAGAATTTCATTGACTTTTGAGCAAACTTTGCAATTTACATTCTTGTTCGAATTCTTTAGCTTCCTTTGGAAAAAAGCAAAAAAATTTACACGTAATATTTTTTCAAATTAGCTATGTTCCATGACCTGGCAAGTGATCGGCCTTCTGCATCCTTTAGCGAGTATGCTCCTCCTGCGTGCACTAGCTCGACCAAGTATGGCCCTTCCCAGTTCGGCTCTAGCTTTCCCACATGTTTTAGCACATCGACACGTTTCAAAACCAGGTCGCCTACTTGGAGTCTGCAAACTTTCACCTTCTTGTCATGAGCGGCTCGCATCCTTTACTTGTATGCCTCCACCCTGATTGCTGCTCATCCATGCAGCTTCTCAATAGTGTCCAGGGCCGCCATCACTAAATCCTCGTTTTGCTCAGCATTATATGTGCTCGACCTCTGGGACGATAACTCGACCTCGACCGGGAGCAACGCCTCCATCCCATAGGCTAAACTGAAGGGAGTTTCTCCTGTTGTTGACCTCGGGGTTGTGCGATATGTCTGTCATGTTTTTGTTACTATTTTTCGTTGTTATTTTGTGTGCCGTTCCCCTCGTTTTAGATATTTTCTTAGGTATTCCCGGCCCATTTTGTCGTTTCTTGCGTTTTATCTTTATTTTGGTGTGTTTAGGATTTTTTGTGTTTTCTTTCCTATTTTCTCTATTTTTCGTGTTTTTCTGTTGGTGCGATTTCAGGCTTTAGGTTGATCGGGTTGGTGAGTATTCAAACATGATGAGAAGTGGATGGTTCGGGCAGCATTTTGCGGGACCCGAGCACGCGAACAGTAGAAGAAAGGGGAGATTTTTGGACAAACTGAGCCTTAGTACCGCTAAGGCCCCTTTGG